TATCAACTCATCCGCCGGTGTCAGTCAACGGGGAGAGGCCGAACCTACTGAGAGACACTGAATGAGCTGCACTACAAAACTTTCGCATCCACCCTTCTCTTTAGACAAAAAAAAGCTTGAAAATTCAAAAAGCGTGAAAAGTCAACATGATGCCTTCACCGATTTCATCGCTTCTGGGTCTCCGGATTTCGGTGCAAGCGGAATAACGAAGTTGTTCATCGTTTGCGAATGTCTCGATAGTTATGGTTGTTATTTGGATTAATTATTTTCTATCAGTCCAAGATGTGCGCACCTAAAATTTGAGGTCGAAAAGTGCTACAGTTTTGTTCACGATATCATGCACTTGCATCTGTTGTACGAGAATTGTGCAGAAAACGTGATTCCTGCATCGGAATTCCTAACTTCCCCCACTATCCCCTCTGAGTTGTAACAATGAGTTCTGAGCAAACCTGGGTGTATGCCTTGTTTTTTTTTATCTTGGACTTTCGTGTTTACCAACACGTAGGAAGTAGGCACATTGTCAAAGAGCAAAAGAAAACACACACATCCGATTCTAATAATGGTGGGTTTTTGCGAGACTGTATTTATCGCGAAGTAGCAGATTTATAGGGTCTTCTTGTTGCAGCGTTATGTCTCGCTTAGTACCTAAATAACCTGATACCTGGTACCTAAATAACCTCCTATGCGAGCGAGGTCTTCAGTCAAATTCACCTTCATTCTGAGACATTTCCCATCAATCGCATCCATTTTATTTGTTCTTTCAGACGTATCGGTAGTACGCGCAGTAACTCGTCGAGTCTTAGCTCCAAAACGAAGGCAATACTCAGTCATTTGGAACGACTGAATACACCAGCTCGAGTGAGTTTAACTTCAGAGTACCTTCAAAAAATTCTAATTTTAATAAAAATTCTAGCCAAGTACCCCTTGTAATTTGTGTAACCTTTTTTCAAGGAAGCTCGCAAACTTCCTGTGATGCGTGGATCAACAGTGCCATCGGAACGTTGGGCGCCTATGCGCTCATGTGCAGCTCCTCCACTTGTCAAATCCAGTGCGACAGTTCCGTCTCGTATCCAGCTTCTATCTTCATCAATGGCGTCCCAGCGAAAACCGTATTGGTGGGTCTTCCAATAGTCTCCAACTTCTCTCTTCGTATAACCTCGGCATTGTTGTAACTTTGATGTTCTATTACTTCTGCGCCAACGAGGTTTGTAGGTGGAACTTTATTACGGCCTAACGTTTCGACCAGATCGTCGTCCTCAGAGGCCGAGTCCACCGCGGCATGAGCGGATCAACGCCGCTCCACTAGATGTTAGTAATGTAAGTCATATATATAGTTATTACATTACTAACATCTAGTGGAGCGGCGTTGATCCGCTCATGCCGGTCGACTCGGCCCCTGAGGACGACGATCTGGTCGAAACGTTAGGCCGTTAATAAAGTTCCACCTACAAACCTTGGCGCAGAAGTAATAGAGCATCAGAGTTACAACAATGCCGAGGTTATACGAAGAGAGAAGTTGGAGACTATTGGAAGACCGA